CAAGGACTATAGTCTTGAATATGCATTGAAGCTCAGCATCAAGAAGACAAAGATTCTCACCACTGGACCAACTGGCAGCACTATTATAGATGGAAAAGAGATTGAGGTTGTTAGCAATTACAGCTTGCTCAGATCCACAGTCAACACTCTTAATACCAGCAATCAGGAAATCAAAAGACAAATTGCATTGGGAAAATCTGCTGTCACAGACCTCTACAGAGTGCTGAAGAGCAATGATGTCAGTCTAGATACAAAGGTGTGCCTAATCCAGGCCATTATCTTCTCAATTACTTGCTATGCTTCAGAGAGCTGGAGAGTAACTAAGGATGACAGAAGAATCGATGCCTTCAAGTTGTGGTGCTGGAAAAGAGTCTTGAACATACCATGGACTGCCAAGAAAACAAATGGCTCTGTCTTGGAGAAGGTGAAACCAAGTCTCTCCTTGAAGGCTAAGATTGTAAAGCTCCATCTCACATACTTTGGGCATGTGGCCAGGAGAGACCTGTCCTTGGAGAAGGACATCATGCTCAGAAGAGTGGAGGGACAGTGTGGGAGAGGAAGACTCTGGATGAGAGAGATTGATTCAGTTACTGTGGTAATGAGGGTTGGTGTGTTGGAATTAGTGAAACTGGCTCAGGACAGGGAAGGGTTCAGAGCTGCTGTACATAGGGTCACTATACATCTCAGGTGACTCACGGCACATAACAACAACAACAACATACTATATTGGTTGGTTTTTTTGTTGTTGTTGTTGTTGGTTTTGGGTTGTTGGGTTTTTTTTTTCATTTAAGCCTCTTGTTTAGAGTTAACAAGACCTCAAGGAGGGCCTTTCTATTTAAAGTTGGTTGTTATTTTGGAGGAATGGTCTTAGTGGTACAGCACTCTTCTATCAATATGCTGTGCTGAGGTAACCTTGGATTGCTGTGATGCTGAACCTTGTACCATTGAGGTGTCAAATGTCATAACGGTTACTCATGTGGACAGTGTTTGGTGAAGCTCCAAGTTTAAAACAGGTTTATAAACAAGAGTGGCATCCACTTCCTAAACCACATGCCTCTGGAAACTATATGAACTTTGGTAAATGTCAATAGTTATAGAAAGGCTTCAGGCCTTTTGTTCATAGGAGTCGTGCTTGACTCGAAGGCAATCAACAACAAGAAGTCATCTTTTAGTTAAGACTCTAAAAATATGTATAGTTCTCACTTTGACTTTACTTGTATTGTTTAAAAATCTTGTGCTCAAGTCACATATTCAGAGATTATAAATGGAACAGAAGGAAATTGCCCATCTTTCTCTGGTGGACCAGCCAGTGAGGTCAAATCCAGTGTCTTTGAGTTTAGTGTAAAACTCCTTGCCACTAGGCCTTCTACAAATATATCAACAGTTGTGAGGATATGGTGGATCAAGCAATCTTTTGTTCTTCTGTACTTGGTGTCTCTATGAATCAGGAACTCCATAGTAGCTAAAAACAACAACAATTTAATCATAGTTGTGTGAGATGAAAATTGCTTTCTATCTAAATTTACTATGGATTTTCAAAATTTGATCGTTGTTATTATGTGCCATTGGGTCACTTGCAACTCATAGCAACCCTACGTCCAAAAGCCCTAAACCCTGCTCTATCCTGTGCCAACCTTATTGTCTCTAACACAACTATCCCCAATACCTCAGTGACTGAGTCAGTCCATCTCATCAACAGTCTTCCTCTCTTGCACTGTTTCTACACCCTCCCAAACATGATGTCCATTGCCAAGGTCTGGTCCCTCCTTGCAACATGCCCAAAGTATGTCAGATGAAGCTTCAGAATCCTTGCCTCCAAGAAGCAGCCTGGCTTCACCCTTTCTAGGACAAACCTGTTTGTTCTCCTGGCAGTCCATTTAATACTCTTCTCCAGCACCATAGCTCAAAGGCATCAATTCTCCTTCTGTTATCCCTAGTCATTGTCGAGCTTTCTGACCCATAGCAAGTAATTGCAAAGACCATGGCCTGGATCAGGTACACTTTAGTCTCCATATTGACATCATTGCCCTTCTGTACTCTGCAGAGATCCCTGACAATAAACTTTCCCAGTGCAATTCATCTTTTGATTTCCTGGCTGCTGGTATGAAGAGTGTTGACTGTGGAGACAAGCAAACTCAGCTGTTAACAATCTCAAGCTTCACCATCTATCATGACGCTGCCAACTGACCCAGTAGTGAGAATCTTTGTTTTCTTGATGTTGAGCTTCAATCCATATTTGAAAAACAGGCACTATCTTACTGTCAAAGTGTCATTGCTCCTAAATGCTTTAAACAATGATAGATATATCTATGAAAACTGTCTAGTGACGGTCATTCTATGATATCATATGAAAACTTACCATCTTGTATGTTGTTGTTGCTGTTAACTTTGATTCAGAGTGACTGTATTAACAATGATGGGAACTTTTTTCCTATTCTAACAATGTTTGCTAATCTTGCTGCCACCATTGTTACCAATCCATCTTATTGAGAGATTAACTGGAAACAGGATGCTTTTGTCCATATAAATCATAATCTCTGTTAGTGCAACTCAAGCCCTGAATATTCTCAGAAATAGCCCAGTGTTTGAAATGAAAACATAGTATTGAGAACTATAAAAAAAAAATCTTACACTTAAATGGAGTTCTAGTGGGGTAGCCCATAGCATGTTGTGTTATACGCAACAGTTGATATATTTGTAGAAAGCCTAGTGGCAAGGAGTTGTACTATCAATCCAAAGACACTTAGTTTGAGCATCTACCTAAGAAAAATGGACATTCCCCTTCTGCTGTGTTGTTAACCAAAAGACTGAGAGTCTCTGGTAATTCAAATTCAGCAGATGATTTTAGGTTAGAGAGCTGTATTGTGTCCACCATTTAAGATGATGTTGTTGTTATGTGCCATCAAGGTAATTACAACTCACCTTGATTAAAAAACAGGTAAGAACTTTGCTTACTCTGTGCCATTCTCACCACCTCTGATATATACTTGAGCCCTGATATACTTGATCCCATTGTTAGTCATTCATCTTGTTGAGAGGTTTTCTCTCTTTCTCTGGCTCTCCTCCTTTCCCAGCATATTGTCTTTTTCCAAGAACTGGTACTTCCTAACAACATGCCCAGATGTGTAACGAAGTTTCACCATCCTTGCCTCCAAGGATCACCTGGTTGTACTTTCTCAAAGACGGTCTTGCTTGTTCTTTTAGCAAACCATGGCATATTCAGTATTCTTCTCCAGCACAAAAATTCAAATGCATTGATTCTGCTTCTGTCATCCTTATTCACTGTCCAATTCTTTTACTCACAGGAAATAATTATGAATACCGTGAGTTCGATCTGGTTTGTCTAGTCCTGAAACTGATGTCGTTTCTCTTTAGCACTGTGATGAAATCCTTGACAGTAGATTTTCCCAATGTAGCATGTCATTTTTTTTCTTTTTTAAGTTTTATTCTGATTTAGTTACAAAGTTTGAATACATTGTTTTTCACAAAAGATCCTCCCCATTTCTTTCACCCCACCCACATGTAACATGTCTTGATTTCCTAAGTGCTGGTATAAAGGGTGTTCTAACTATAGAAATCTTATGGAGGACCATTATGAGTTGAAATTGACTAAAATGTAATGAGATTAAAGTACATAAACATGTAATATAGGAAACAAACTATGGAAAAAATATATTATTTTCTTAAGTTGAGGCATGCATTTCACATAGATGTCTTTTCTTACATGACAAAAAACAGAAGAAAGAATGTGAGGTGATTGGATATACTGCTGGTTGGGCTGTAAAATGGCACAACACTATGGAGAGCCAATTGATATATCTTTAAGAAGTTAAAAATTGCAATAGCATTTGATCCAGTGATCCTTCTACAAGGTATGTGTCCTAAAGAAATAAAAACTGCAGCATAAACAGATATGTGCACATCCATGTTTATTGCAACAAAAGACGTGGAAATAATCAACGTGTTCCTCAATAGACAAATGAATAAAGAAACTATGGTACGCTCACCCAGTGAAATTATTTGAAACACTAAAAAAACAATAGAGTGTTTAAGAAACCCTGCATACCAATGAGGAATCTATCGGACATAAAACAGGATGAAATAAGCAAGTCACAAAAGGAGAAATATTGTATAAGATCATTGTTTGAAAAGTTAAACAAAGATGTATATGCCAATAGATCATTCCTAAGAGATTACTAAGGAGAGTAAGGAAGGGTGAAGGGGATGAAAATTATTAGATGGGTAATAGATACTCATTAAGATACATGAAGAGAAAGGCAATATAGATAGAAAATGATCAGCAGTATTGTTGTTGTTAGTACAGTATGACCCATAGCAATACTATGAACAACAGATCTGAACCCTATCTTATCCCATGCCATCCTCACACTTTCCAACTCATTAGAGCCTATTGCAGCAGTCACCGTGTCAATCCACCTGGTCAAGGTGTTTCCCCTCCTTTGCAGACCCTCTGCCTTTTCAAGTGTCATGTCTCTCTCCAAGGAATAGCTTCTTCTAGCCACTAGCCTGAAGTATGTCAGGTGAAGTCTCATCATCATGGCCTGCAAAGGGCCCTCTGGCTACATTCTCTCCAAAACCCATTTGTTTGTTCTCTTGACAGTCCATGGGATGTTCAATGACCTTCTCCAACACCGTGGCTCAAAGGCATATAGGTATACAATTGATGTAATAAAAGAAACTATATATAAATTACTGAAGGGAACATCATTATACTTTGTAAACATTAATTTAATGACAATTTTTCGAGAAATCATTCACAAGAATACACATAAATCAGATCTTCCCTTCAGAGTTGTGTAGATGTTATATAATAAATTCTAGACCATCTAAGTCCCCCATAAACATTATTCTAATGACAAATATTAATATGAATGAAAATTATAAGACATAAAAAAGTTATATGGTCAAACAAGTTTTTCCAGTTTCACCTACTAGGTTCTCCAATATATTCTAACATAATCTTTTTATTGGCACAATCATTAAAAATAGACTATTCTACTGGAGAGTCTCTGTAGGGCTGTCTTTATATCTCCATTCCTCAGGCTGTAGATGAAGGGATTCAGCATGGGCGTGACAACAGTGTACATCACTGAGGCTACTGCACCCTTCTTGAGAGAATGAGAGATAACTGAACTAAGGTACACTCCAATCGCTGTTCCATAAAATAAGCAAACAACTGACAGATGAGAGCCACAAGTGGAAAAGGCTTTATACTTACCTCCTGCAGATGGGACTCTCAGAATGGAGTAAACAATTCGTCCATAAGAGAGGAGGATCAATGAGACTGGAACACCACCAAAAATGGCACCTATACAATACACTAATATGATATTGTTGGAGGTGACATAACAGGCAAGGTTGAGGAGTTGTGAAGGGTCACAGAAGAAACTAGGGATTTCTACATCTGTGCAGAAGGTAAGGTGTGACAATATCAAGCACTGTAGCTGAGATTCCAAAAGGCTAATGAAAAAAGTTACCAAAACCAGTAAACCACAGACACAGGGGTTCATAACTGTTTGATAGTGCAGGGGACGACAAATAGCCACGTATCTGTCATAGGCCATTGCGGTGAGGAGCAGACTGTCCATACATCCAAACAAATGTAACAAAGAAGACTGAATCAGACAGTCAACATAGGTGATGATTTTGTTGTGTGTGTTTATGACATTCAGCATCTTTGGGACTATGGTGGAGGTGAAAGCAATGTCAGCAAGGGACAGGTTACCCAAGAAAAAGTACATGGGTGTGTGAAGGTTGCTGTCCCAGCAGATGGCCAGGATAATGAACAGGTTCCCAAGCACTGTCACCAGGTACATGAAGAAGAATATTCCAAAAAGAGGGTACTGCAGATCTGGATCGTCGGAGAGGCCCATGAGGAGGAATACAGACACATGTGATATATTCATCAGTTCCGTGTAAGGAGACACCTGGGGGAAAATAAATGAAAAGCTCATAACATTAAATAAGTGAGTGGAAACAGTGGAAGGTTCCTATATTTTCATTCTGGATGATCATGTGAAACACAACGTGAATGAAGGAATGTATAAAATATAATAAATATAAATTAATTGCAACATGTATTAATTTTGTATGCAAACCAATGTAAAGTAAAAATAAATTTTAGGCTGGACATGGCTCTTCTTGCAGGACAGCTTTCAGGGACCTTACCATGTGCCAAGGCCTGTGTGGCATAGTGGGCCTTGGCCCAGGAGCATCTTTCAGACACTTCCCCAGCATCTGCTAAAGGCTATGGCCTAAACCAAGTGTACTCATAACCCGGCCGGCACAGAACATGACATTCAGGTACTTTGGGGGAAACACTGCTGTCTAGCTACATCACTTGGGATCCCTTAACTCAAGTGAAAAAGGCTGGACCAGGCTGGGTTGAGACAAGTTGCAGTTTCTAGAAGGCAAAAGAATTCTCTGTTCTGCCATTCAGATACTTCGGGGGAAACACTGCTGTCTAGCTACATCACTTGGGATCCCTTAAGCTCAAGTGAAAGGGGCTGAACCAAGTTGAATAGGGACAAATTTTCGTTTCTGGAAAGCAAGAGAATTCCTTTGGGGAAACACTGCTGTCTAGCTACACCATTTGGGATCATCCTAACTCAAGTGGAAGGGGCTGGACCAGGTCAGATCAGAGCAAGTCACAGTTTCTGGGTCACAAGAGAACTCTCTGTTCTGCCATTCAGGTACTTTGGGAAAAACATTGCTGTTCAGCTGGAGGTCTTTCATGAAACATTGCCATACTCTGGGTCACTATATAGTTACAACAGTCTAACATCTACTGAGAAAGACCCACGTAATGTCAAGAAAGCAGCAGTCTGCCTCAGTCATCATGAAAAAACAAAATAACCCTTCTCCTAAAATAAGTAGACCAAATGAATACTCCAAGAACCAGAAGAAATACATTGATGTGGAGTTATTTTAGAAGCTAAAGAAGAAGATGAAAATGATGGAAGGAATATTGAAAGCGATTAAGAGAGCAAATACCCCAGAGACAACGATCCAGAAGAAATATATTGATGAGGAGCCACACAGACAGCTACGGAAGACAATGCAAAACATGAAAGAAAGAATTGACAATATAGATAAAGAGTTTTAAGAATTTAAAAACATTACCATAAGACAGAGAGGGTACAGCCAACAAGGACTTGAAATAATAGACAAGCATAAAAACGCAATACAGAATATTAAGACCAAATTGGCAGAAGTGTCCAACACACTTGTAGGACTAAAAAGTAGCACTGAAGAGATGGAACAGAAAGTCAGTGAGCTGTAAGACAAGAGCCTCACTGGAAACATCCCAGAAGAAAAATCAGAGATGAGACATAAAGTAAATGAAGAAAGCATTAGAATCATGTCTGATGACATCAAATGGAACAACATGCACATGGTTGGAATTCCAGAACATGGGAATGATAGAAAATTGTGAAAGAAGTTCTAGAAGAAAACTTCTCAGGTATTTTGAAGAACAGAGAAATCTGCATTCAAGAAGCTCAGCAAACACCAAATAGACTAAACCCAAAAAGAAAAACATCAAGACATATCATAGTCAAATTCTCCAAATTAAAAGATAAAGATAAAATTCTAAAAGCAACACAAGGAAAACAAAGAGTCATGTGAGCCAGAAGACAACAGGATGGCATGTAAAGAAAATTAAAAAGAAAACAATTGCTAACCAAAGATCCTATACCAAGCATAGCTCTCCACCAAACATGGAGAAATCACATCCTTTGCAGAAAAGAAAGAACTTAAGAAATTTGTGAAAACAAGAATAAAATTACAAGAAATGTTAAGTGAATCCAAAAAGCACATAAAAAGAAAAATTCATCATGACCAAATGGGATTCATAAGAGGCATGTAAGGATGGTTCAACATAAGAAAATCAACGTAATTGGCCATATTAACAAAGCAAATAACAAGAACCATATGATCTTAGCAATTGATGCAGAAAAGGCATTTGACAAAATCCAATTCCCCTTATCGGGAATTTTGTCAACTTACTGAAAAGTGTATAGGCAAAACCAAGAGCCAATATCATTCTCAATGGGGAAAGACTAAAAACATTTTCCTTGAGAATATGAACCAGACAATAACTTCAACTGATACAGAAAAGGCTTTTGACTAAATTCAATACCTTGTCCTGATAAGAAAACTCAACAAAATCAGAAAAGAAGGAAATTTGTTCAACATGATTAAAAGCATATACTTTAAACCAACAGTGAATATCATCTTCAATAGAGAGAGCTTAGAAGCACTCCTATTCCAAATTGTAGAACTAGTGAGAGCAATATAGCAAGAGAAGAAAATAAGACATCCAAATTGACAAAGAAGAGGTAAAACTGTCTCTATATGCAGATGATATGAGAGTATACTTAGAAATTACTAAAGATTCAGAAACTGTTGGGCATGGTTGATCAAGGCATTAAGTTAGCAGGATACAAGATTCACTTTTTAAAAAAATAATCAGTCAAATTCCTATTTACCAGCAAAGAGCATGCATTGCTGTTGATGTCGTGTACCATCGATTCTCTTGCAACTCATATAAAGAAGGAAGTAAAGAAAACAATGTGAATTACAATAGCTAGTGACAGAGCAGAGTAACACTGCATGGTTCAAAATTGGGAAGGGTGTACACCAGGGATACATCCTGTCTCCATACCTTTTCAACATGTATGCAGAGCAGATTATCCGAGAAGCTGGGCTCTATGAGGAGAATTGTGGCATCAGGATTGGTGGAAGACCTATTAACAATCTGCGTTATGCAGATGACACAACCCTGCTTGCTGAAACTGAGGAGGACCTAATGCACTTGCTGCGAAGGGTCAAGGACTGCAACCTTCAGTATGGACTGAGGCGCAATGTCAAGAAGACAAAGATTCTCACCACTGGACCAATTGGCAGCATCAGGATGGATGGTGAAGAGATTGGGATTGTTCACAGCTTCAGTTTGCTCGGCTCCACAGTCAACACTCTTGGCACCAGCAGTCAGGAAATCAAAAAGTGTATCGCAATGGGAAAGTCTGCTGTTAGGGACCTCTCTAAAGTACTCAGGAGCAACGGTGTCCCTCTGGAGACTAAGGTGCGTCTGATACAGGCCATGGTCTTTGCAATCGCTTGTTATGCATCAGAGAGTTGGACAATGACTAGGGAGGACAGAAGAAGAGTTGATGCTTTTGAGCTGTGGTGCTGGAGAAGAGTACTGAATGTACCATGGACTGCCAGGAAAACAAACAGATTCATCTTGGAGAGGATTAAACCAAGCTACTCCTTGGAGGCAAGGATTCTGGGGCTTCGTCTGACATACTTTGGACATGTTGCCAGGAGGGGCAGATCCTTGGAGAGGGACATCATGGTTGGGAGGGTGGAGGGACAGCACAGGAGGGGACGACCCTCTATGAGATGGATTGATTCGGTGACTGGGGTGATTGGGATGGGTGTGTCAGAGGCAGTGCGGTTGGCGCAGGATAGAGCAGGGTTTAGGACTGTTGTGCATAGGGTCGCTATGAGTCACAAACGACTCAACGGCGCATAACAACAACAACAACAATGACAAGACAAAAAATTCAGAAACACAGAAGTCCTATACAAAAAAAATTACAAACCACTACTACAAGAAGCAAAAGAAACCTAAAGAAATTGAAAAATATGCCATGTTCATTAATTTTGTTTTTGTTGTTACGTGCCTTCAAAATGAGAATGACCCTATAAACCACCAATCTGAACGCTGTGTTATCCCATGCCATCCTCACAATCTCTAACTTCCTCAAGCCTATTTTCATAGTCACTGTATCAATTCATCTGGTCAGAGGTCTTCCTCTCCTTTGCCATCCCTCCACCTTTCCTCAAGCATTGTATCCCTCTCCAAGAAATAAACTCTTAAAGGAAGACTCAATATCATGAAAATGACCCTACAAC